CTAAAACTCTTGGAATTGTCTGAGTGATAGGAGCCTTTTGTTATTCATAACCCCTTTTTATCACACCTGCCTTGACCCTAATGAAGTGACTTCGAGTGGGCCCCTAGATCTAGGGATGGGGCTGGCCACCAGAAAGACTGCTTAGAAGATTGGAACCTTTATCCCCACCCACCAGCCTCTGGGAAGGTGGGGTGGGGGGCTGAAGATTGAACTCTGTGAAAACTCTTGAACCAGACCATGACATTCAGAGCTGGGTTGGTGAGTGCACCCATGTGCAGGGAGGGTGGCATACCCCAACTCCATAGGGACAGAAACCCCTGTGCTTGGGACTCTTCTGGACCTTGCCTTAAGTACCTCTTCATCTGGTTGTTCATTTGTATCCTTTATAATAAACCTGTAAAGTAAGTAAAATGCCTTCCTGAGTTCTGTGAGCCATTCTAGCAAATTATCGAACCTGCTGAGGGGGTCTTGGGAACCCCCAATTTATAGCCCATCCATCAGCAGTATGGATAGATGGCCAGAGATTTCTGACTGACATCCGAAGTAGGGGCAGTCTTGTGGGACTGAGCCCCTAATCTGTGGGGTCTATGCCAACTCCTGGTAGTTAGTGTCAAATTGAATTGTTGGACACCCAGCTGGTGTGAGAATTGTTTGGTGTCAGAAAATATTCCAGAAGCTGTAATTAGTGAGCATGTTCAGTCCTCTAATTTGAAAGAAAGGGAAATTGTTAGGTTTAACATTCAGCTATCTTATGAGTGAATTTTCTCAGAAGCCTTCAGTTTTTTAACTCACAGAGGGACTGACTAATGGAAGATTCAGACACTGAGTAGCCTTGGTTTAAGGCAGGGGAGGAACTTCTTACCCCATAAATCTCATCAATTAAGCAGCGTCTGCACGCCTCTCTCTAGGGCTGACCGTGATTCTGCCTTCTCACTCAGGAAATGTGGGTATGTTCTGAATCATCTCTGTCTTCTATTTCTAAATCCTGCTTCACTTTCCCCACAGTCATCCCTGGTCCAGGGGTTAGTCATCCTTTATGGTGATTATTGCAAGTCCCTCCTGATGTCTTCCCCAGCTCTTACACCCCTTCCCCCACAACTTCTTGTCAAAGATGTTTCTATCTGTTCCTACAGTTGGGTTGCTTTCCCCCTTAGAGCTCTGGACTTCCAGGTGGTGAAGAGGGCACAAGGTATGCTGGACCCCAAGGCCGGGAAGAAGGGAGTGACTTACCACACATTTGCTGACTCCTGCCACGATATCCCTGTGTGGGATAAAGAGATAATTTATCATACAGTCAGTTCCTCATATTGCTCTCTATGGGGTCTATTGGGGTATACAAACAAAATATGCAAGTACAGTAAATCCTATTAGAAGGTATAATGGAGGTAGCACAGATTGTGTGTGAGCTGAAAGGAGGGGCAACTTCCCCAGGTCACAGTGTCGAGAAATGATACCTGAGCTGAGATGTGAAGGGTTAATAGGAGTTCTCTGGGCTAAGAATCTGGATGGGAGATGTACTCTAGGCAGAAAGAACATGCTGAAAGCATGGAAGTGTGAGATGGCATGGAGTGTGCATGGGTTCATCAGGGCAGGACCTGGATAAGTGAGAATGACCCAGGGGCAGATGTTAGTCCTGCTGAGGTCAAGGGAGTGGAGAAATGTGTTCTAGTGGAAGAACCAGAATTCCTTCTATTCCTTGCCACTCTCTCTAGCCTCTTGATTCACAAGGCAAGCAGTATGGTATAATGTACGTTAAGACCCATGGTTCTGGATACAAACAGCCTGGGTTCCAGTCCCAGCATTGTCACTTTTTTGCTGCTTACACAGCAATGCATCACAGGCCATCTCTGGTCTCTTAGAACAGACTTATGAGTGAGTCAGCCAGGCCTTGGAAAAGGGTGCCACAGGCATGATGTGATATAGTCAGGAGCCTTGTGGGGCTGGTCAGAGCCCCAGCAGAATCCATAGTTATTGTAAGGATTAAATGAGATAATGTATGTCAAGTGTCTGACTCAGAGTAAGCACTCAATAAATAGTAACTATTATTATTATTTTATTAAGTTACATTGTTAGTCTCACAGAGGGAACTGGCAGAGACTATCTGGAAGAGGGCCTGCAGATGATCTGTTAGAGAAAAGCTACATCTGGGCTGAACCTTTGCAGGAGTAGTTCTGATTCTCTTTTTTTTTGTTTGTTTTTGATGGCTGACCAGTACAGGGATCTGAACCCTTAACCTTTGTGTTACAAAGCAGCACTCTAACCAACTGAGCTAACCAGCCAGCCCAGGTTCTTACTCTTTTGTAAGAAATGGACTCTGGAGAATCTGATGAGAACTTTGGACCCTCTCCCCAGAAAAAGGCACATTGCTCACATGACACTTTGCATATTTCAGGGACTTCACAGACTCCTGGAAGCCTGTCTAGGCATGAACCTGGTTGGACACAGCTGTTATTCACCAAGCGTAGCTGAAAAAAGTTCCCACTGCTATCTCAGCTTATTATTCCAAGTGAAAAGCTCGGCACATGTAGGATATTCAACTCTGGAATATCCTGTGTGTTTTAAAATACAAAGTGGCATGCTAAGGAATGGATGAAGGAGAGAGACCTGTGAAGAGACCATTTTAATAGTCCAGGGAAAAGACGGGGATGGCTTCCTGGGCATGCTACCTCTGCAATTATGCAGGGCCCTCCCTGTACTTCGTTTATTGTTCTGCTGTGTTGCCAACTTGAAATTCTTAATTTTCTTTTCTTTCTTTTTCTTTTTTTTTTTCTTTCTTGGCAGCTGGCAGGTATGGTACAGGGATCGAACCCTGGACTGATATTCTTAATTTTCTAACAAGGAGCCTTGCATTTCCATTTTGCACTCGGCCTCACAAATGATATAGTCAGTCCTGGAAGAAGATAGTGATGCATTGCTGTGTAAGCAGCAAACAAGTGACACAAATGACAATGCTGGGACTGGACCCAGGCTGTTTGTATCCAGAACCATGGGTCTCAACCAGCATCATACTTGCTGCCTGCCTTATGAATCGAGAGGGTTAGAGAGAGTAGTGAGGAAGGGGAAGAAGAAACGTTCTGGTTCTTCCAACAGAACACTCTTCTCCACTCCCCTGCCTCTCCTTTCCTCCTGTCGTCCTCTCAGTATCAGTGTCCTTTCCTCAAGGAGGCATTTCCTGGTCTCCAAACTAAAGTATTTCCCCCTTATTCTTTTACTTTTTATTATCCTTTAATATACTCATTAGAATTTTAATTATGTATTTGTATGTTTACTTGTGTTAATAATAAACCTTCACTAGACTGTGTGCTTAGTGAGTGCAGAGACTATATCTGATTGCTTCCCTTAGCGCCAATGGAGAGCCTGGCACATAGTAGATATTTCATAAATATTAGTTGAAAGGTACAGTTCAGAAAGTAATGATATGGGCCGGCCCATGGCTCACTCGGGAGAGCGCGGTGCTGATAACACCAAGGCCACGGGTTCGGATCCCACATAGGGATGGCCGGTTCGCTCACTGGCTGAGTGTGGTGCTGACAACACCAAGTCAAGGGTTAAGATCCCCTTACCGGTCATCTTTTAAAAAAAAAAAAAATTTTATATTGGTTACATATTGAAATGATATTTTGGATATATTGTGTTAAATACAAATCATTGTAAAATTAATTTCACCTGTTTCTTCTTTTTTAATGTGGCTACTAGAACATTTAAAATAATGCATGACTTGCATTTGTGGCTCACATTGTATTTCTATTGGACAGCACAGCTCAGATAGAATAAATGTGATTTCAGGTATTTCTGAATATATGTATTTGGCATCTTTTCCCCATTAGGATTAAGGTCAGGATTTATGCCTTTTGTTCATGTTAGCTCTCCACAGGGCCCAGAAATTCCTAGCAAATCCCACTGTAGTCTCTAACGTTGCTTCTTTGCACAACTCATTTGTGGGTGGGACCCGTGACTGAGGGATTCCCACTTGCTAATTGCCAAGGTGAATATAGGAAGTTAGGAGTGGGGCAGGGATCATTAAGTGGATTTGGAATGTGTCCAGTGTTAGTGCTTTTGGGGGTGGCTTGGAGAAGGCAGTCTTCTGCTGGCAAAACTTTTCGGACTCCTTCCCCCTTGCAGCCTTGGTTAGGGGCTGGCCACACACCCCTGGGCAGACCTCTGCCGTCACCCATCTCTCTGGCATGCTCTTGGATCCTGTCTGTTCCCTGGGCCGTGAAGCTCCATGGGATCGGGGTGAGCTGCAGGGCTCATCTCTGGCTCCCAGGGCCCTCAGGAGCGTGTGTACAGTCAGCACTCAATAGATAAATAAATGCCGGTAGAAGAAAGAGGGAGGAAGAAGATGTGGCCAGGCACTCAGGAGGGAGGCTGGGATTAGGAGCAGAACTGGGAACAGAAATGGAAATAAAGGGCCGAGTTGGAAGCCCCTAGAAACAGCGTGGACGAGGCGTGCTCCAGCACCCTCAGTTGACCAGGCACAGGGCTAGGTGCTTTATTCACATGACTGCATTTCATCTTCACATCAACCCTGAGACATTACTGTAGGACTTCGTTCATGACAAAGCTGAGTCCCAGAGAGGTGACGTGATGTGCCCAAGGTCATTCAACGAGTGAGCAGCGAAGTCCAGATTTGATCCAGGGCGGTCAGCCGCCAAGACCGCACTCTTCCCGCTTCACTCCACCCTTCTCCTCCCTACCCCAACTCCCCTCCCCTCGACTCCCCTCCCAAGGCCGCCTCGCCCCACCCCTCTTTTCCCTCCTCTCCCCTCCCCTCCCTCTCTCTTGGTGGAGGCGGCGGCGGAGCCACGTGGTGGGGCCGGGAAGCTG